TTATTTAAAAATATGTATATAACCTTATTTTATTTTATTAATTATTTTACAGATAGATATTTATCTAATTTTTGTCCAAAAAAGATATTTATCTAATTAATCCATGTTAGACTTTTGAAAATATCATGGATTTACAAATAGCATGAAATTTGTAGAAAAAAATTAGGGTACTTTATTGTTTAAAGTTTCAAAAATAAGATATTTACATCTTGATCTACTTGTGATAGTTAATATTAGGGTTTTGTGAAACCTTCCAAGTAATTTTTTTTTGCAAAATAAATCTCTAAGTCAAATAAATGCAAGTTAATACTACGGTGTCAAAAGTCACCCGCAATATAACTCTCCATGTATCGATAACTTGGCACTCTTTAACTCCGTTTTAAAATTTTACATATGTCAAAACGACACCGTTTTAGTTATGTCCAAAACGACATGATTTTTAGATTTTGGCTCAAGCTGATGCATCTGAATGCACCGTTCAAACTTAGCTGGATTTTTTGGATTTTTCAGATGACTTTAAAAAACTTATTCAACTGATGCATCTGACTGATCCGTTAAATTGCCTCTAAACGAATATCATTCATCTCCATTCAGATGGAGCATTCAACTAATGAAACGAACAGCACCACAGTCCTTAGTTTCTTTTGTAGCATCCAAACAAAACCGGAGCATATTATTTTTCTAAAGGGGGTTAATTTTTAATTTTTTATAAGTCCGTTGATTACATAACACAACATAATTCAAGAGAGTCCAGAATATATTTTTAGGTTAAAATCATGTTGACTGACTTATGAAACAATATGGACAATTAAAATCATACAACCAACACTGGCCTATTATCTTTTTGGGTTAAAATCACATCTGGACTGACTTATGAAAAGATATGGGCTAAATTAAATCGTCACGATTTTATTATAAAGACCTTTTGTTATATGAGCCCATCAATTTGAGAATGTCGTCGCATGTGTGCATGCACTCGGCTTTACAAACATACTAGATTTTAACTCACAGTACATCGCGAGATAATTTAATTTAAAGTTAGTATAAAAATATTTTGTAAATTATATCTCCTTATAACATATTTATTTATATTATAGTTTACAATTGTTATTAAGTAACGGTGTCCACGAGACAATTATTAATAATTGAGGATTTAACCCGTATTAAAGCGGTATATAAATATTGATTCAAATTCGTCCGCCATATAAATCCTTTCCGAAAAATAACTCGTTCCATAATTTCTTAACCCGTCCCGTGATTTGTTTTTATTTTAAAACTAGATTCTAACCCGCGGTACACCGCGGGACTATAATTTTTTTTGAAAATTATCTATAGATATGACATATTATTTTGTTTGATTTAAATGTACGTATATCTGTATATATTATATATATTACCCGCGGTAATTATTTTTTGTTTTGTTTAGCATTTAAGATTTTATAATTGTATTTTGATAGTTAATTCTAGGATTTCACTCGTAGTATACCGCCTCCTATTAATATCGACTCAAACCCGTCCTACCATATAACCCCGTCCAGTGAAATTAAATATCATTTTGTTATCGTTTTTTATAATATTTTAATTTTAAAGATATATAATTTGAGTCAATTTAAAAGTTTATTTTGAATGGCTTCCATAATATATATATATATATATATATATATATATATATATATATATAATTGTTATAGAGTTCAAATATCATTAATATTGTAAACTTTTTATAGAATTTAAATATTATAAATACTTATAAACGTTTATACATTCTTATAAAGTTTAAATATTTATAATATTCGAAACTTCATAAAAGTGTTAATATCGACCAAAACTTCATAATTCTATTTTGATGGTTAACTATAAGATTTCACTTGTAGTATATTATTCCGTATTAATATCGATACAAATCCGTCACACCATATAATATCGTTCCGTGAAATTAAACATCATGTTATTTTTCTTTTGTTTAGAATACATATAATTCGAGTCAATTTAAAAGTTTGCTTTTAAATGGTTTCTACAGTATATATATTTATAATTTTTATAGAGTTCAAATATTATTAATATATAAACTATTTATAGAATTTAAATATTATAGATACTTTAAACTTTTTATAAATTTTACATATTTATAATATTTAAACTTCTTATAAGCTTTAATATTAATAATATTTAAAATTCTTAAAAAGTTAAAATATTTATAATATTTGAAACCTTATAAAATAATAATAATCTAAAACAACATATTATTCAGTAGACATAAATAATATTTATATATTTGGTAATAATGTTTTTTGGAGTTAATCTCATTTATAACTAAACAAATTATTTATTGCCAAAATGAGGTTGGTTTATAATAAGTAATATAGCAAAATGAGTTTGTCAAATAACGATTAGTAACCATAATTTAATTAATGTACATTAAAATAAATATATTTAAAAATGAATTACTTAAAACAATTGATTTTGTCACTTGATGGTAAACCACTAAATATTTTCTGTAAACAAACCAAATAATTTTTTTAAATCAATACTAATTAAAAAAAGTTCTAAACAGGTTTAAAAGAAAAGAAATGAATCTTTACCTCTAAATAATGAGCTTGGAATTTTGATACGTACCAAATCACAAAAAAAAAACCAATCCATCCTCTGATCCACCGAGAGGACGTGTATCCAAATTAGTGAGGCAACAATTAGTTTTAAATGACTGTTTAAACACAAAACAAACAACCATTACTATTGTAACTAAGAGATATAAGTTAAGATGCTACAACGGATTATTGTTAACTCTACCAATATTTTCACACTCAAACATGAGCCATCTTACCAAGACAATAAAAATCAAAACCCTTTTCTAATTTTTCCAAAACATGTAGATTAAGGTAACGTAGAAGGACCAGTTTTTGAATGCACTGGAAAGCTCCTCAATTCAACGTGAGGCTATCAAACATATGTAAAGCCATAGAAAGACGAAAGTGAGTTATTTATCAAAAAAAAAAAACAAAAAAAAAATGAAAGTGATTCAAATCAAAGAAGAATAGAGAAGAACCTTAGTCCAAGACATGTACAAAATGAAGCCACATGCAGATGATTTGAGGAGCTGAGGGACGGCGAGAGTGGAACCATGCCCATTGATTTGATGACTAAATAACCTCATGTATATATATATATATAGAGAATAAATAGTTTATTGATTTAGGTCTTGTTATGATACAATATTAAAAAAAATACATAGATTTGATGAGTAATTGTTATCTTTAAGTTATATATATACGTGATTATTTTCCTTAAAATTCTCCAACAATTATTAGGTTATGTAATTGTTTTAAGAAATTATTTATTTTGCAGCACATTTGTCGTTAGAAAGTTTTTAAAATAAAAAGATTTTTTTTTAATTTATTACATTTCAATTAATGATGGATCTTTTATTATGAGAAATCATACCAAAAATATTTGAGGATCAAAAATGTTTTGGTAAGATTGTTAAGATATTATGTTAAGATTTTTTTTGGCAATTAATATATTTCATTTGAATTTTCTAATCAAAATAATTAATGCCATGGCATTCTTTGTAAATACTTAGTAACTCTAGGATTTATTTGCTAAGTGTACTCCAAAAATGTAAATATAGATAGTAGAATATTTTAGGGAATATGGTTACATATAAGATTGATGGATTTCCAATTTCAACCGAGCATTATTTTAGGGATAATGACTATTAAGATCAATTAATTAAGATTTTAGTTGTTATGCCAACAACTATTCGAATTGTTTTTTTAATTATAGTAGTTATGGTAACTACTATTTATTAGGACGCTTAAATATATTCTGGTTTCCTTATTATTTCTTTTAATCGTTATTTTTAAAAATTTCTAGAAAGAAACCGTGGACAATTTTTGGAGATATTTTTTGCAATGTTTGTTGAGCACATTATCTTGTATTTAAATTTTTTAATCAAAATAATTAATGTCAATGGCATTCTTTGTAAATACATTCCAACTCCAGGATTTATTTACTAAAAGTCATCCAAAAATGTATATATAGATTTAATGATTATTTATTATATATAAAAGTTTACAAATCATATCATTCTCTAAGACATTTATATTTTAATAAACTAAATATTTAATATGTATTACAGCGGCATGTTAATGATATTTTAAAATTTTATAAATATTGTTATTAACTAACATTATACCACGGGACAATTTTTGGTTTTATACAATCTTTTCTAAGTGAGACTGATTTAATATGTCTAATATTTGTAGTATTAAAAAAAAAGGATTTAATCCGTATTGAAGCGGTGGATTAATGATATTTTAATATTTTTATTATTGTTGATTCAAAAACCCGTCCCGCCAAACCCGTCCGGCCAAAAACTCATTTATTTTATTAATGTTCTTATTTATATACTACAAGAAAACAAGCTGTTTGCGACCAACGAAATCGTCCCAAATTAGTCATACAGTCGGCATTTGAGACTGAATAAGGACTGTTTTGGTTGGTCGCAAAAATTTGGTCGCAAATTTATTTGGTCGCAAAACCGTCCTTTATTACCGACCACTTAGTGAGAACGACAGATAGTCGCAAATTTGTAACCATTTGAAGACTAATTAATGTAGTCCTACATAGAGACTATTTTGTGACTGAAGTTGATAGTCGAAACCAGAGACGAAGTTGCAACGGCAAGTTGAGTCGTAAGGATGCGACGTTTTAAAGACTACATGATGGATTCTAGCGTCACTAATTAGCAACCAATATGCCACTGTTTTTATTTGTATGTGGTGGCAAATAGGTGAGAAAATAGCTATTTATTTGCAACCTCCCCTAAATTAAATTGACAAAAAAAAACTAAATTTAAAAGAAATCCTAATATGATTTATATTAGAAACCCATAAAATAATTCAGTACTACAAAAACCAAACCTAAAATCATCATCCATAACAAAAGCCAAAGTAGATTAAAAGGTCTAAAACAGAGGATGAATAAGTGTTAGAAAAGGTCTAAGCCAAGGGAGAGGATGAAGAAGTGTTAGACATGGGTGAAGTGGCAGCTGGTGAAGAGTATGGTGCGTTGGCAGGTGGGATGGCTGCTGCGGTGGTTGCTGCGGTGGCTGCTGCGGTGGTTGGTGGTTGAGAAGCTACGGTTGCTGCTGCAGTTGCTTCGGCTGTTGAGTAGCCAAAAATTCTGCAAAGGCAGGATCTTTGTTCCTCATATAGGAGACCATC